CCTCCTATTCTATTCTATTTCTATTCTATTTCTAGTCTATTTCTATTCTATTTCTAGTCTATTTCTAGTCTATTTCTAGTCTATTCTAGTCTATTCTATATTCTACATTCCTCCTATTCTATTCTATTCTATTCTACTCTACTCTACATTCCTCCTATTCTATGCTATTCTGCATTCATTCTATTCTACACTCCTCCTATTCTATTCCTATTCTATTTTATTTTATTCTATTCTATTCTACATTCTATTCTATTCTACATTCCTCCTATTCTATTCTATTTCTATTCTATTTCTATTCTATTTCTATTCTATTTCTAGTCTATTTCTAGTCTATTTCTAGTCTTTCTAGTCTATTCTAGTCTATTCTATATTCTACATTCCTCCTATTGTATTCTATTCTACTCTACTCTACATTCCTCCTATTCTATGCTATTCTGCATTCATTCTATTCTACACTCCTCCTATTCTATTCCTATTCTATTTTATTTTATTCTATTCTATTCTACATTCTATTCTATTCTACATTCCTCCTTTTCTATTCTATTTCTATTCTATTTCTATTCTATTTCTATTCTATTTCTAGTCTATTTCTAGTCTATTTCTAGTCTTTCTAGTCTATTCTAGTCTATTCTATATTCTACATTCCTCCTATTGTATTCTATTCTACTCTACTCTACATTCCTCCTATTCTATGCTATTCTGCATTCATTCTATTCTACACTCCTCCTATTCTATTCCTATTCTATTTTATTTTATTCTATTCTATTCTACATTCATTCTATTCCTATTCTATTCTACATTCATTCTATTCTATTCTTTCTATTCTATTTCTATTCTATTCTAGTCTATTCTAGTCTATTCTACATTCTATTCTATATTCTACATTCCTATTCTATTCTACTCTACATTCTTCCTATTCTATTCTTATTCTATGCTATTCTGCATTCATTCTATTCTATTCTACACTCCTCCTATTCTATTCCTATTCTATTTTATTCTATTCTATTCTACAGTCCTTCTATTCTATTCCATTCCTATTCCTATTCTGTTCCTATTTCTATTCCTATTCTATTCTAGTCCTATTCTTTTCTCTTCTATTCATTGTAAGCCGAAGACTTCCAATTGTGATAAGTAGATTCCATTACAGCCGTAACTAGGAGGCCACCCTTACCATTGAGTCCACGTTAACAGCTCTGCTTTCCTCCTTATCTCATTCTTGGCCCTGATTCTCCCGTAACCCCTCTTAGTGATCCTGAAACCTTTTAAAGACAGGAAAGAAAGGCCTGGTTTTAGAGTGGGGCAGCTTTGAATTTCCACTCAAGCTGTTTGAAGAAGGATTGTGGTTGTCGCAACGGGGTGACCTGCCAGGATATTGTGTTACTCAAAAGCCTCTTAAGAAATCCATACCTGACGTGGGTGTTGGCCGGGAACACAGTGGGAGGTTGCGATCAAGGAGGAGGCCACAAATTCTTGGCCGAGCTTCTCCGACGTTTCTCACCTCCTGCTGCGGAAAGGACAATGGCATTCCAGTGGGATGAGCTAAATGCCACTGGGCCCTTAATAAGCACCTGTTGAAAATTAACCTGTAGGTCCCAGGACAGATGGGAGAGCAAAGTTAGAGAGAGAGATTTAAAGGGACCTTGGAGATCATCTAGCCCAGTAGTCCCCAACCTTGGCAATGTTAAGACTTGTGGACTTCAACTCCCAGAGTTCCTCAGCCAGCTTTGCTNAGAGAGAGAGAAGCACAGTGCGCCAGGAGAAGACTCTATGGCAAGGGGAGGGTTTTCCAGTCGTCTCCACAATTGATAGGGCTTTCGGTTATGACAGGTAGAGGAAAAAGGACGCCGTGCTAGGAGGAGACTCTATGGTGGGGGAACTGAAGTTCCGGTCAGCTCCAGAATTGAACAGTGGGCTTCCGGTTAGGACCTTTGTGGCTCCCGGTGTTTTCTTTTCTGTGGGAAAGGGGTCCAAATGGCTTTTTGAGTGTTTTAAGTTTGCCGACCCCTGAACTACAGCAACTCAAAGGTCCTGCGCTGTTCCGCTGTTCAGCAAAATCACTGGATTCTAATACCAGAGCCAAGAGCATGAACGACCTTGATAGTCTGAACTGATTTGTTTCTCAATTGATACGACTTTGGATATTTTTTTCCAAATCTCATCACATAACCTCACTGTACTAATGAGCATCAGGCAGATAACCAGACCTTCCTCCTCCAATCCATTCCGCCTCTGATATTCCTAATCCATCTCTTTGTACAGGTCCGCAAGACCTATTTCAATTTGGCCTTTTGCGATTTCTGCCTTAAGTTCATTTTCCATGGCTTTCGATGTCAAACATGCGGCTACAAGTTCCATGAACACTGCAGTAGCAAAGTGCCTACGGTATGCGTGGACCTGGCTACAACCCACAAACCGTGAGTATCCCTCCCTTTGCCCCCCCCCCTTTCACCTGCTGTGAAGATCAGCTCATTTAAAAAATGGTCTCATTGGGTTGGTATTGAAGACAATTTTCCTCCCTTGTAGTGTTTACAGCCATGAATTGTGTCAAGACTATATCCCCACAGCCTTTATCCAGCCTAGCTACAAACCCATGACCCCTCAAGCAGTCAGGTAAGACACTTGTTCATTAGACAGCTGCATTGGGAGAGGTGAACTGGAACGCTCCACCAGGGAGTGACCCTGTCAAAACACACGCTTGAGAAGTGCAAGAAAAGATTGGTGGTATTTGTTTAAAGGGAATAATTCCTTGTTTTCATTTGTGGAGGACAGAAATGTATACTCTGCTGAAAGAAAAATAACATTTGAGGAGAACTCTTATGACATATTTCAGAATATGTAATCTTAATACTTAAGAATTTTCATTTGGAAAGTGAAAGTTCTTAACCTCCTTTTCCTTTGCAGCTCCAACAAACAGTCACCCCACAGTCAAGATGCCTTCAATTTTCCCAACATTCCCAGTGATGGTCGTCTACAACGACACCGCTCAACATCTACCCCTAATGTCCATATGATCAGCACCACCATCCCTGTGGACAGCAGCATTCTTGAGGTAAGGCCATTTGAACCTGGAGCATGAACTCCTCTCTAAAATGTTTCTTTCTCGTGTTATTTTTGCCCACTTAGTGTCACCTAGACACTAGTACCCATAGGACTTTGTAGCAAATGTGAACTCCAGAGAGACTGGTCTTAATAAGCTAATATCTATTCATCCAAATTAGTCTAGATATGATAACATGCAAGTTTTGCAGCATACTTATTTATACAGTAGTGTCCAAAATTGTGGAAACATTTTGGGAAAAGTGTATTTTCTAAAACTAGCTGATAACACCACTTTTCTTTTTTTTTGCAGTAGTACCATAAGATTATATATCAATGGAAAGATAATTTAATCAAGAATGCAATGCAGAAACTATTATGAAGGATTTGCTATTACAATAGCAGTTATAAAGAAGAAAAGTGGAACAAGATATACAAAAATTATCACCATCGAAAAAATGGGATATACAAAAATTATCACCATGTCAGTTCATACTTAGTTGGGTAACCTTTAGCATGAATTACGGCCTTACAACATTTTCCCATGGAGTGAACCAAGTCTTTTAGTTCTGCAGCTGTTATAATGTGAAACCAAGATTGAATGATTGCTTCTATTAACTGAGTTTTACCGCTGGGTCACTTCTGACTAACAAGTTTCTTTAGTCGGCACCATAGATTTTCAATTGGGTTAAGGTCTGGGCTATTCCCAGGCCATTTCAGCAGCTGAATATGATTATCTTGAAACTCCCCCCCCCCCCCCAAAAAAAGTGGTGTTATTAGCCATCAAACCTCAAAAATACACTTTTCCCAAAAGGTTTCCACAATTTTGGCCACTACTGTACTTTAATCTCATCAGGATATTTGGTACCTTTTAAAATATCTTAAAATATAACTGGAAAGTTAAGAGATCATAGGTCTCAAAAAGATAGTAGGCCTGTAAACTAGGTTTCTTATTCTGACATGTAGTTTGGGGTCCTTTTTATGGATCCATCAACCTCTGAAAGGTAGATCTAAAAAGTTATTCTGATCAGTTTAATTCACTGGATTTTGCATTTGTCTTTTTTTAAAATAAGATACTTGAATTCAATTTTTTTTAAAGCATCATGAGTTGTTAACTTTCAGCCTGTAGGTAGATTCTATGTTGGTGAAATGTTTTACCGTATAGTTCCTGCATCTAGAAAATTAGATGTGGGAAATCAGGATTTCAAATTCATTGGGTGAATGCATAACATTCTACATTTTATGTGAGAAGATCCTTAACCCTTTCTCTGTGGATGGGATTGAGCAGAGAAGTATTCACAGAGGAGGCTTCTGAAATTGTATCGTCCCATCTGTATACTGTCATGGTATGAAGTAGGCCTAATGCTTTGAAGAAAAAGTGATATGAAGGTACAAGCAAGCAACCTTACTGTGTTGAGAATCCACTAAATGGGAGTTCTATTTAGACAGCTACTGAGCACTGAGTCTTCTTTTCCCTTTTCCAGGCCATGTCCAGGAACCACAACACAGATGGTGAGTTTTTCAACGAAGTAGTAATTGAATGTATGTGCCTTGTGAGTGTATGAGCGTTCTGTATGGGCTGTTGCTCTGTATTGTAGGGACCAAGTGTCAGGGAGCAGGGATAACGATATCTGAGAATGATTGACAGTCACTGTCACGCAACAGCAAATGCACCACGGCGACAGATTCTAAATGCTAAAATGATCAGATTGTTTTTGGTGAGAAAGGCTGTTGGAGATCCAGACGATTTTATCACCACAAATGATAAGCCTGTGGTTCACTACATGTCGGACTGCAAGAAGTCATCACTTTGGCCATTTGCTGAGCTAGCAAGAACCAGTAAGGCTTGGAGTCCTGTAATATCTGAACAGTGTATCTTCCACTCCTCTGCAGTCTGCAAGAATTCATGTGATTCTTTTCAAAAGCCACTTTAAAATCAAGCTTCCAGTTATAGGAAAAGTATGTTGTAATATGCAATCTAATGTTGCATTAGTATTTCCCCACTTTTCTAAGTTACAGACAAATTCATGGGCAGGTGAGACAATCTGTTAATTGGACTTAAAGAAATCCTACATTAGCCTCACTGATGTTTGAGATTGCATTCTATTTTATCAAGTCTGGTTTTAATCTTTGTAGCCTTACATTGCATATATATGCAAATGTGCTGATACTGGACAAATCCTGGCTGACAATTTATGTGAAATGAAGTTTCATAAATTAATTGCGCGGTGTGTGAGGAATCCATGCCCTTTCATTAATACAGACACTGATAGCACTCCAGTTCCTGAAATGATCGTAAACTCTCTTATGAGAAGGATAAATTTTGATTTCCCAATCGATGCTTTCTGTGAATTTTCTTTACATACTCCTTGTTTTTTAGTTAACTTTTGTAATAGTTGTAAGTTTCTTAAGGTCGTTTGAAGAGGTTGTCTAGATGGGAGTAAAATCCCTCTTTTCCTCTTGCCACAACAGTGACTGGGCCCGAATTGGTTCCTAACACCCCACCAACCCCCTCAGTTGCCGTTTCTCCTGGTCGACGTTCTCCGCACCCCAAATCCCCAGGCGAGTCTCCGAGAGAGCGCAAGGTGCCTTCTGAAGACAAGAAGAAGCCTGTGAGTACTGAGGTGGGAAAGTAGATAATTTGGCATGTGGTTCTTGACTGGATACTTCAAAATGGTAGCCACAAGAAGTGATGGTATCTGTACTAGTAAGCATAGTACCAGGGAAGAGTAATGGCTGGGCTGTTTGGGTGGACCAAGAGGTGCTAGGGGGTTGATAGCAAGGGTCTTTTAACAAGAGTAATACTATGGAACAGTATTTCATTGTGGTGATAGCCAACACCGTGACCTGACAAAAGCGCGCCCGACAACAGCATGCCGACAAAACCGCGGCGATAAAACCGCGACGTCGATAGTGCGCCCACAAAAGTGTGCCGACAAAAGAGCGCCGACAGAAGCACCATTACGGTTAAGGTAAGGGTCAGTGAACCGGTTAAGTTAAGGGTTAGGGTAAGGGTTAGGGTTAGAGTTAGAGTTAGAGTTAGGGTAAGGGTTAAGTTCAGGGTTAGGTTNTGCTTTCCGGGTCCACTGGTGGAACCTCTTCTAACCGGTTCGGTAGATTTGACGAACCGGTTCTACTGAATAGGTGCGAACTGGTAGGAACCCACATCTGACATGTTCTCTCTTCATCTGTGTCCCATGAAGAGAGACAAACTTCTTACTGAGTTTCTCTGGCCTTCAAGTTCTTATATTTTGTGCCTATTCAACAGCAAAGCCCAAAGGATGGGATTCTGAAAAAAAGGTTAAACAGATTCCGTAGCTGCTCTGGCAGCTTTATTGTTACTTTTAGAGCTAGGCCAGCTCTACTTACGATAGTATTTTGAACCCCACTCTGCTAAGGTAGCATGTTGTGAGATGCTTGTTCTGAGTGAAACCCTCTTGTCTTCTCTTTCAGATTCTGGCCTCCATTGAGTCACTTCAGCACTCCTTGCCCAAGATAGAGCGCAGCGCCTCTGAACCTGCATTGCACCGGGTGGCCCACAACTGACCACTTTAGCTCTGCGGCTCTGCAGCTGATGTGACTTCAGAGAGTGAGGCTGCCGCGGGCCATGCAGTCCTTGAGGCCAGTAGCTGCTGTGTGCTCAGCCTTTCCGTAAAGTTGGGAACCTGGTGTAGTCGGGGCACCTGGCATTGCATTGTCTTTTCTACACCTATGGGCAGAGGAAGTCCCACCGAGGAGTCTTGCGTGGCCTGGTTTTTATTCTATTCTTCGCCCTATGGCTTCAAGGAATTCCCAAACAGCAGCTGCCATGTTGTACAGAGCCCACCGTGAGGTGATTTAGGCTCCCATCTTCTCCAGGAGCCCTTTTTGAATGGGCGTCAACCTGTTTCAGGAACTCTTGTTCGTTTGTTTTGAAAGTCAGAAGAAAAGTGTAAAAAAGAAACATGATGATTAAAAGAGCAATAACAATGAAAGTAACTACCATGTGGAGTTTGTAATCATCCTTATAAGAAGTGGAGAATTATCAAGCAATAATATCACAGAATTTTTAAGGCCTGTCTGATTTAGGGACTTCTTCTGGGTGTTCAGTCCTGTCAAATTAGAGATTTAAGACTGTGTCAACAACAAAATCTTGCTAACCGGTTATTTCGTTTCAAGAGCTTCTGGAGATTAAAAATTTGCTTTAGGGAGATGTTGCTAGAATTCTACCGTAATTTGTAGGCTTTGGGTACCTTCAAAACAATGAGTGTTTTTGACTATTGCCCCCTATTCTAAATACCAAGGCCTTTCGTCTATGTGCACCTAAATGAAACAACGTGTTTAGTGAATGTAGAAATCTTTGTGTTGCCTCATGGAAACAAAATATCTGGTGCCATTTGGTGATACTTCCAAGATCAGACACTGCTAAATAAAGCCAGTTCTCATACACCCACTATATAATCAGTTTAGGAGCTACTATGGTAACAAGAAAATAGGAAAAGAAATGAAAACATCTGAACAATGTGGGTGTTGAGAGTTTTGCTCAGACCTGCAGAATGCAGCAGCATTAAAAGGAAATAAAAAGGAGATAAACCAGATGAAGCTATAGTAACCTTATTTAATAGTGAAACACCAAAAAGCACAATGCCAACAGGGAAAGAAAATGGTAGTGATTATAACTGTGTACACACACATGCACAGTGTTTTTAAAAATCGACAAAATTAACAGAAAAAGAGATGTAATAAACATAAAAAGTAATATAAAAACTAATTTGATCCTTTAGCATTTCATTCAATCTAGACCATGTAAAAACATTTTCTTTCATATTTTCATTTTTGGAACATGGAATATTATCAAAACCACACAAAAGACTCATATATTGGATCCTTCCTTAAAATCAAGATGGTAAGCTGCTTTGTATAATATAGTATAATACTACCTTGTATAATATCTTATTGCCGTGCCCCAGGCTCAATAAAACCAAAGCACTTCATGAGATGACAAGCTCCACATTTTAAGAATACAGTCAAAGAACCCACTCTTTCCAAAGTTGTTCTGGCATGCATAATAATTTGAAATCAAAACACTATAGCCATAGGTGAGAAAGAAGACATTCTCTGAGTTCAAGGTCCATAAAATTTCTTATACACCAGGATAAAAAAATTGATTGTCTCTTTTAAAATTTTCTTTCAGGGGGCCCAATAAACAAAACAATACTTTCAGTGAAGTTAATAGCATGTTTTGATCATGAGTATATTTGACATTTCTTAACACTTGGATCCATTGACCTTCCAAAATGGGATATTCTGATTCCTCATTCTGCAATTCAGATACATAACTAATACTTCTATTTAACTTTTTAATTTTTTTATAAAAATGAATTGTTGGCACAAGCACTACATTTCTTAAGGCTCCTAAAGTTGCAGGACTCAGGAGGCTGTTCAAGCATCTGTGCCATACTATTTAATTCATAGGTTTCAGCAGCATGTGTTGCCAAGCAAATATTGTAAATAGTCCACCCAGAATTTCTCAAAGCATTTAAACATTTGAAACTAACTGATATTGACCTCAAGAGTTCGAGTAAAGCATCTTCCCTATTATTTTCAGTTCTGATTATTTCACAACTTCAATTTCTTGTATGATTTGGAATTAAAGCATAACTGCTTATCTATGAATAAACAAATAGGTTTGGCAGCCAAGTTCCTTATATCTTGAAGTTTGCAAAAGTCTTGGACAGGTATCCCACACACACACAGACACTCATTAGAAGAAATNTCAGCTACGCGGTTTCGTTGAGCGCGGTTTAGTCGAACACGGTTTTGTGGTGGAACCAAGCAAGTAAACCTCAGAGGCAAGCGGATTCCTCAAAGAATAGCTTTATTGGATAGACCGTATTGGCCCAGTTTTGGTGAAAACTCTGAAAGTTCCTGCTGTTTTCACCTAATTAAAAGTAAAAGCTTTTCACCTGCTGCTGAGTTCTGTCTAGAATTCTTTATTGTCCAAGTGTGATTGGACACACAAGGAATTTGTCTTTGGTGCATATGCTCTCAGTGTATATAAAAAGGCAAGATACATTCATGAAACAATCAGTCACATCGTCCAGTCAAGGTGCTATCCTGTCACCTGGTAACATCGCTCCTCCTCTCTCTGGCCAGGTGTTAGAATGTCCTTGGTTCCCAGGGAAGAATGTTTTATTTTGGCTGTTAAACCCCAGCTATCTCTAATCTCCACCCCCCACTCCCTATCCTCAGCTCCTGTGTGGCAACACTGAAGCCTCAAAATGACTACGGTCAGGTCAGCTACAGGGTTGACAAATACCTAGATTGGGAAGGCTGGACTACAATATTCCTGGTGTTACTGGCACAGCATAAAGAATCGGCACCTGGACTGTAGGATTATGTTGAACTCCACAACATCCAATCAACTGTAGGCAGAGGTCATAAGACTTCACTGGGTTTGAAATAAGTATCACAGATGGAGAAGAGACTGTAAGTAGTCCTTCGGTTCCAACAGCAATTAGGATCAAAAGTACCAGCACCAAAGAGTGTATTAAGAGCCGAGGTGGCGCAGTGGTTAGAAGTGCAGTACTGCAGCCACTTCAGCTGACTGCTAAGCTGCAGTTCAGCAGTTCAAATCTCACCGGCTCAAAGGTTGACTCAGCCTTCCATCCTTCCCAGGTGGGTAAAATGAGGACCCAGATTGTTGTTGGGGGCAATATGCTGACTCTGTAAACCACTGAAAGCCCTATGAAGCGGTATATAAGTCTAACTATTGCTATTGCTATTGCTATTATAAAGTGTGATGTCACATGACCACATCACTTAGTAAAGGCAATGGCAGCAGTCCTATTGTCCTTATGCCAGATGCTCATGTGACTCTGACTTATGACTTTTTGTCGGTACCCCTATTGATTTTGTTTGTGGAAACCCAGCGGGAAATATCGGAAATTGCAATCATGTGACTGCGGCTTGCTACAACAATGTGAGCCAAGCATCCAGATGTGGTCTCGTGACCGCTGGGACACTGCAATGGCTGGAATGCCGAGGACCCATCACCAGGACTCTTTGTCCAGCACTGCTGGACAAATTTAAACAGTTTCTGAAGAAGAGGTCATCACCTGAGAGCCACGTCCATGTTCATGGGATCTGAGCTCTGAGAAATGGATCTAGTACAACAGAAACGGCCCTGTAGTGAATGGCGAGATGCCTGAATCAGAAAAATTTAGCACAAAAAAAAATAATAATCACTTACTCCATGTAATGTATGCCCAATATACAGGCAGGGTGGCAGACAGAAAAGGGAGGCATACTTATGAATGATGATGTAAAGAAAAGGTGATAAGAGGAGAACCATGATGGTGCAGTGGTTAGAATGCAGTATTGCAGCCTACTTCTGCTGATTGCCGGCTGCCAGCAGTTTGACAATTCAAGTCTCTCTGGCTCAAGGTTGACTCAGCCTTCCATCCTTCTGAGGTCGGTAAAATGAGGACCCAGATTGTTGGGGGCAATTTGCTGACTCCGTAAACTGTAAAGCACTGTGAAGCAGTATGTAAGTTTAAGTGCCATTGCTTTAACTCATTGTCTCTTTTCCCCAGTTACCTTCATGCTAAGAACATAATCCACCGGGATCTCAAATCAAACAGTATCCTTCTCTTGCATCTGTTTAGTCTTGAGTGGGAATCCTTTTTTAAGGAAACCTGAGTAAATTACCTAAAAGCCACAGCATGTCAGAGTAGAAAAAAAAGAGGGTTTATAAGTATTTCCAAGATACTGCATGAGATAAAAGTGAGACTTTGGGGAACTGAGGTCAGGGATAGATAACTCGTGCTTCTTGTTGGACAAGTGATTAACTACTCAGGCCAGGATACCTGTGAATTTCCTTCACCTGCTGCTGCTAGATATCTTCCTGCATGAAGGCTTGACCGTGAAGATTGGTGATTTTGGCCTTGCCACGGTGAAGACACGTTGGAGTGGCTCACAGCAAGTGGAACAACCCAGTGGTTCCATCCTCTGGATGGTGTGTATGTTGGGAGGTAAAGCTTTGAAACAGGCCAGGGTTGGGAGAGAGAGGAGAAGAGATAGGGAGCAGAAAACAGACAGTGTTCTTTCTCTGGAAAGTAGAAAGGTTTGGCTTACCCCATCTGCAAATCTTAATGCCTTCCCACTGGACCCCCGCAGGCATCGGAAGTGATTCGAATGCAGGACCCCAATCCTTACAGCTTCCAGTCAGATGTCTACTCCTATGGAGTCGTCCTCTATGAGCTGCTCTCCGGGACTCTTCCGTATAGTCATATCAACAATCGGGACCAGGTAAGGAAGGAAGGAAGGGAATACGGGGTTCAGCCACGCCCTGTGTCCTAAATCCTTTTCAAATGGTCCTTGCTGGCTATTTAATGGAGCCAAGAGAAGGGGCTCCAGTGATTCTGAAGGTAGCCAAGGTCTTTGCTGGGTCTCCTCATCTTCTGCCTGTGGTCTGATCTCCCTCTATTCTTCAAGGTATCTCCCTGATGGTGAACCTATAGCATGCATGACAGAGGTGGCACACAGAGCCCTCTCTGTGGGCACCCGCACCGTCACCAGCTGGTCTTTGCGGGCACCGGAGCATCAGAAAATGGCCAAAATGGTCATTTTTCGGGCCATTCTCAAGCTGTTTTTCACCCTGAAAAAACAGCCTGAAATATGGCCCAAAAACAGGCAGGCACGTGCCAGTCAACTGGTCTTCGGGCGCTCTGGTGCACGCATTCACACATGTTCCGGTTTGGACATTCTGTGCTGAAAAGGTTCGCCATCAATGCCCTATCTTATTTAGATAGAGAGTTCCATGCGCCTTTGGTATTTAGTCATGCTGGCCACATGGCCACAGAGACGTCTTTGGACAACGCTGGCTCTTTTTATTAAAAAGTTCATGTTCAAAATTGGGAATTATCCAGCCCAAAACCAGAAACTTACCTGGAAAATTCCTCCATTGTCTTCCTTTGGGCGATGGTGTGGAATGCTGCCAACTCCTCCATTCAACTTTTCCTTTCTACTACTCATGTGATCTGGAGTGGAGCTATTGGGGGGGGAAGCTTGGAAATAATGTCAGAAACTCTGCCCAGTTTTCCTACATTGTTTTTAAATAACACTGCATCTCTCTCGTTCTTCTAGATCATATTCATGGTTGGTCGGGGATATCTGTCGCCTGACCTTAGCAAGGTGCCAAGCAATTGCCCCAAAGCCATGCGCAGGCTAATGAGTGACTGCCTTAAATTCAGTCGTGAAGAAAGGCCCCTCTTCCCTCAGGTGAGAGCTTAAGGGATTGTGAGGTAAAATCCATCAATCAGGGTGACGTTTCAGCTGATGGCCAAATTTATATCTCTGAGAAACTAATCGGCGAAATATCTTGGCAGAAAGTATCTCCAGCAATCTAGCATGCAGAGGTACAGAGCATGTGCACGTGGATTTGCCTCTTCCTCTTTTGAAGATCCTCTGCCAACCTAGCAGTTCGAAAGCACGTAAAAATGCAAGTAGAAAAATAGGGACCACCTTTGTTGGGAAGGTAACAGCGTTCCGTGCGCCTTCGGTGTTTAGCCATGCCGGCCACATGACCACGGAGACGTCTTAGGACACGGCTGGTTCTTTGGCTTTGAAACGGAGATGAGCACTGCCCCCTAGAGTCAGGAACGACTAGCACATCTGTGCAAGGGGAACCTTTACCTTTTGAAGATGTGAGGTAACTTTTAGTTTAGTTTAGTTTAGTTTAGTTTCCTTTATTTGTATGCCGCCCTTTTCCCTGGGGGGACTCAGGGCGGCTCACAATTCAAA